AGGGCTTGGCCTTTATCAGCCTTCCAAGTGGGAACATTCTTGTTGCAATTCTCAGGCAACAATTCTTTGGAAACATTTTTTTTTGGTGGAAAACACCGAGGTTTTACTTCTCATCCCCATTCAAACAGACTATTTTCCAAACTGCTGACACTTTTCTCGGAAGTTCCATTTTCCAGAGTACATGTTCCAAATTCCAGACCATGAGATCTATCCAAAACATTTCAGATTTCTATTTTCAGCCTGTGCTTTTACCACACTTTGCATATCCAGATTTATGCCAATAATTTTCTCTTAAAGGCATATTTTTTGGTACAGTGAAAACTAGCCCAGAAAAAATAATTTGCTCCAGTATGCAGAAACAAGGTTTGCTCTTAGAGTTACTACAGGTTTACATAGGACAGTATTAAAAAAAATAATAAAATGCAATTGAATAGAGGTACTTCCCATATCTTATTTCAGTTGGTTGGATTTTGGCATTGTTTCTTTTGTATGCTTTAACTTTACTGGCTACTTTATCAATGTGTTTTTTTTAAGGGAGAACTGAAATTTACAGAGTTCTTCGAGTCCCTCTTTGCCCCTTCAGAATGAAGTGACAAATTACTAAATTAAATCCTTGCCCACTTCTCTTCAAATCTATCCTGTGCATCCTCCTCAGAGTGCTGAGAGAGCTGGCAGATGTCATTGCTGGGCCGATCTCCATCATCTTTGAGAGGTCATGGAGAACAGGAGAGGTGCCTGAGGGCTGGAGGAGGGCTGAGGCCACTCCAGTATTCAAAAAGGGTAAGAAGGAGGACCCGGGGTACTACAGGCTGGTTAGTCTCACCTACATCCCTGGCCAGGTGTTGGAAAATATCATTCTGGACATCATCACAAAACAAATAAAAGCAAAGAATGAAACTGGAGCAGTCAGCATGGATCCACCAAAGGGACATCATGCTTGACCAATCTGATTGCCTTCTCTATGTTGTAATTATCTGGCTAGATGAGGGAAGAGCAGCAAAGAGAAGACAGTGCTGGCATTGCAGAGAAGCTAAAAGAACTCTCTGCATCAGTGTTTGTAGAGACAGAAACTATAGTGATTTCCACATGGAACTCTTGTATCTCTAGCTTAACTTTGAAGACATACAATTCCATGGGGGATATAACAAAAAGCTACAGCACACTGAGTGTCCAAAAGTTAAGTACATGGGGTTTGCTTTTTCACTGTCTTCCAATAAAATATGACATTAAATGAAGCTAGTAGGAGCCAGGTTCAAAGCAAGTTCTTCACACAACAAACTCCTTCACAGGGGATGTTGACAGCATTAAATGAAAATTAGACAGGTTAATGAAGAAGAAATACATTAAGGATTTTTTAATACACAGACACTGCACTCAGTCCAGGAAGTTCCTTGAGCTGAAAACAGCTGAAGGCCAACTTGTCCTGTCTTACTCTGCATCAGGTTTCTTCATAAAGTCATGGTTGGAGAAAAAAAATTTGGGAGAGACAAACATTTTGTTTAATCAAGTCCAAACATTTTTTTAATGTTTTTAGTAGATACTGTTAATTCCTTTTTCCTCTATCTTATACATTATCTACATTTTGGATCCGTACAAAAATGGGCAGGATTGCTAATCTCCTTTATTGCCATCTCTTTTTAGCTCTGGGAATTATTATTCCTATTTTAGCTAACACCATCACAACTTATATAAAGCATCCATGGCCCAGTCCTGTGAGAGAAGGAGTTCTTCTGGAACCAGCAGGAGCTGAGAACACTGAGTATTTTAAAGGATCCTGAACATGTGACATTGAAAGGGATTTAAGCATCCATTAAGAGCTGCACAAAAGTGCTTTTCTGAGTATGGGCTCTAAAAGACTGCTGAGCTATACAAGGGCTTCTAAACATCAGTTTGTTGTCAACATATGCCTGTTAAGTTTCATCCTGCTTTATTCTAATTTTTTGGTGGTTTTTTTTTTTCTGTTTTTTTGTTTGTTTTTTTTTTAAAGTTCAAGACCTGTTTCCAAACAACTATAATCAAATTGTAAAGCATGAAATAAGCCTCTCTCTTGGAAGATAATTATTATGCCCTAAAGGCTAGGTTAAGAAATAAATTCCTGTTTTAAAGAGAATGTTCCTTGCCACACAGAAACCAAAGGCAAAGGCTGGTTTTCATTATACCATATGTAGTTTTCATAAAACCTGTGTGTTGTCTCCCATTTCAAGATGGGTCTGAACCACACCCTGAAGGTGTATCTCTTGATGTTTGTCATATGGGATCTAGGATGGATGCTGTAGTTTGGTACTGTTTTCATGTAACCATTTTTTCCTTTATTTCTGTGTGCTAAAGCCCTACATTTATTGCTGTGCATTGCCATTGATAGAAGATAAGAGAGAATAAGCACAGATGGCAAATGATTACTGGGAATCACTCAGAGCTGATGTAGTGCTTTAAACTTCACTTATATTTATTTCTGTTTAAAAAAAAATCCTGTACTTGTAAAAGAATCTGGAATACACAATTTGAATGAGGAACATCAGGCTCCAAACCAGGCTAAAGAAGGTGACTACAGAAGAGCAGAAAAAAAGGTTTGGGTCAGTTCATGGTCATTTCTGTTGCAGCTCTTAAAATACTGGAGTGACTATTCTACTTGGCGCGCTGCAAGCAGTTGACTTGGAAAGTCCTATTGGGAAATGAAAGCCTATTCTTCACAGAGCTCTTTGTAGTACTGAAAGAATACAGGAACTTCAGATCTTTAGAAATGTATGTGCCTTATTACTGGCCTGAAAATATATCAAAAGAAGAACATAGGTGATTCTAGGAAAATGTCTGCAAACTACCTTCTCTCTAAAGCCAATTTGAAATGCCAGGACTTTTTTAGGTTACTGAATGTGCTGCAGTTCTTAAACAACAACAAAGCATGATGCTGGTTCTTCACATTTTCTCCAAAGTTATTAAAGTAGCAATTCTAGAAGCAAAAATAAAAGAATTATCCCTCAAAATGCATGAGTTGAGCAATGACAGTCTAACTGATAGATAATCATCTCCAAACAACAAAGGAGTAACAAAACCTGAAGATAACAATGAAGATTTTAAATTACCACTTTAGCACTCTTAAGCAAACTCTTTGAGTTCTTGTTGAACTATTGCTCCATTCCAGTATGAACTGTATCATGAGTGGTTTCACTTTGGCCTGTTACACCTCAATTATCTTTGAAGACCTCAAAAATGCAGAAAAACTGCATTTAGAAAAGGCCAGTGGCAGAACTAATAACCCCCCCTTTCGTCTACTGTGATTGTCACACACTTTGGAAGCTCTACTCCAAAATTAATTTTTTTATTCAGAAAGAAGTTGTCTGAGTCTTGAACAAATCCAAGTTTGACAATTTGGTCTCCATGTATTGTTTGCCACATGTTAAGATTTCTGCATTTCTGGAGAAGACATAACTGAGGGGGAATCCTATAAATGCTTCTAAATACTTAAAAGGTGGGAGTCAGGAAGATGAGGCCAGTCTTTTTTTCGGTGGTGCCAAGTGACAGAACAAGAAGTAATGGGCATAACTGTGAACATATAAAGTTTCATCTAAACATGAGGAGGAACTTCTTTGAGGGTGACAGAGCACTGGAACAGGCTGCCCAGAGTGGTTGTGGTGTCTCTCTGAAGACTTTCAAAACCCACCTGGACGTCATCCTACGCAACCTGCTCTGGCAGGGGCATTGACTAGATGATCTCCAGAGGTCCCTTCCAACCCTTAACACTGATTCTGTAATTGCACTGCCCTAATTAAAACCTGAATTAAAAAACTTGCTAAAAGCAACTCAGTTAAAAAAATCTTTGCCAACACGTACATTAAACCCTACATTTTTAAGACGGTTTGGGGAGAATTTTTTGTTCTTTAGAACTTGTTACTGTTACTGTAATTATTAACAACGTATTCATGTGCACAAGGATATTGCAGATTTGCATCTTCTTTTTTCACCATACAATAAAAGAAGTATTTTCATTATCTCATTGATTATCAGAAGCCCATCTAATGGGCATATCTTCAGTGAATCAGTTTATTTCCATTTTACACCCTTGATGAAAGTCCATAAATGCTGACTGCAAGAAGCTCCTGTAAGAGCACACAGTACAGTAACACATGAAAACATCTAGTATTCACATAGTAGGCTTCAATGCTTGCTCAGTCACAAACACCTCTTCTAAAATGACAGCAACTGAAGCAATGGGACCTCCAAGAAGTTAGAATCATACATAACACAGAAAACTCTTTTTCACTGCATGTGATATTCATATATGCCGATTAATATCTATGTTAAACAGTAACCGTGTGACAGACTACTGACTACATTTCTGTGAGGGGTGATACAATCGCTGCTGTCTAATCTCCAAAGCATTTGTGGGAGACTGCATCTACAATGTGTTAAGGGAACCAACACAATAAGGTTGGTTATATATAGCCATTTCCAACAAAGAGTTCCTAAAAAAATTCAGAAGGTGAATATTAGTAAATACTGCTATTCTAATAATTTCAAACACTTTCAAAGATATTAAACACTTGTTCTGCCCCTAAATCTTTCTCTCTCTTAACCAAGAAGCCTTCCAAGCAGTCATTAAATGAAGTTATTATATATCTATACACCTAGCTGCCTCTGGTCTAGCAATGTGGAGCAAGCTATGATAAACTGCTGGCTTCAAAATCACTAGCAGTGCAGTGCTCACAGGGTTGGTCTGACTTGTTTTTTTAATATAAACCTGCCTTACCTGCTTTCCCTTCACCTCTGGCAAACCAAGACTTTAACCATGATTGTGTAAGATGGCTGGAAAACACTATACTAAGATTTGTTTTTAGCCATGTAGCCCCCAGCCCAATTTGACATCAAATCCAGCCTTCAGACAGTCATATAATTCCCCTTCCTGCTCTCCCCCCATATATGCTGTCTTCTCTTAAAATCCAGTATTTTGCATTTTAATTATCTTCCTGTTTCCTTACTATAAAGGCCTAGAAAGGAAGTCTTACCCGGCACTGAAAAGGGAGACAGACTGTCCTCTTCATTTTCCTCTTGATTCACCACAGGGATGTTCCCATTTTCAATGTTTTCATGTCTCCCATTCTGAAGTGCTTTGCTTGAGCCATTGGCAGACTGGATTAACCGCTGACGCTGCACAGTATCAGAGACAAAACTGCCATAGTTTGGAAAATACTGACTTTGTTAAATCTGAGTTTTATCGTCTGTCCAGCTCCAGTCATGTGAGCCGTGATGTTTCTCCACAAAGCCTTCCAGTCAGTAAAAATAAACAAATAATAATCTATCTGTGGCCTACCTATCTCGATCAGGCCAGTGTTGGCCATCCACCTTCAAAATTACTGGCAGGAGTCCTTCAGGCCGTGATGAAGAAAGCTGTCATATCTGTTCTTCTGCACCATGTTTTAATGAGTGTGGTTATTCCAAAGCACTTCTCACTCAACAGTTCCCACTCAAACCAACAATAACACCATAATCTAGTGGCAATACTCATTTCTGCACTATTAGCATTGGCTTATCAATGAGTTATTGCCCAGGATCTCCCCTACTCAGGTCCAAGGTGTCTTCCTCCTTCTCAACCCCCTTCCTGGAGGTGAATATAAAGGTCCTACAAAAGCATGACTTACCCTTCTTGCCCTTGTCTGAGTACACACTTTCATGAAACCCGTAACTGCCCCAGCAGACATGTGTAGGAGTGCTATAGTTCCAATACACGACACAACAATTACAGGGCTAGGTTTAAAAAGTCAGTATATATACCCATTAATACACCGCAGAATGTGTGATGTAATGGTAATTTCCTATTTCTTTTATTTTTTTAAAAAATAAACAAATCAGTTTCTCAGATGATATCATGCAGGACCAGTAGTAAGTGTTGCCTTTTTCATGACAAATTGTTGCCTCTTCCTAAAAAGTGCTTGGAAATGCCTTGAAAAATACAGTAACTGCAGAAAAGCAAAAGAATAAAATCTGAAACCAATATTAACACACTGTAATTAAAAACAGAGGTAGCTCATATCTGAAAGCTTTGGCAGCAAGAATACATAAGAATGTAGAACCAAAATGCTCTGGTTTAGAGAATGATTTTTGCAGATGTTGAACTAGCAGGATCAGCTCTTTGTGCACAGATCCATTAAGAAAGAAACTTTTCTGATCACTGAATTGCCTTCAAAGCAGAATGTTTACAGAGGCAACTGCTGATATGTGCCCCATCTGATCTTCAGCCCTTGACTACACACCACCAAGCTGACTTCCTAACAAACACTGTTCAATTTGCCTTCAGTAACAGATACATTAGTGATGCTTTCCTTCACTGGTGACAATACATCAAAAGTAAGAGGTAAGTGAAACCGTCCAGGGCAAATGGAGATAAGAGAGTCCCCCACTTGGTGGACTGCTCTCCCATTAAGACAGGCAGCAATACCGCTTGAGAATTCATCTTCAAATGTGCCGAGACATAGCTGCTAGAGGAAGACACAGATAGAGCCCATCCCTAGGGACACAGGAGAATCTGAATTCCAGAATCACTATGAATAATGGCTCTTTGGCAACCCCTCTGCCTCATTAGTTGTTTTCTTAATGAACTTACCTCATTAATGATGATTCGGCTTGCCATCCGCATTCTGGTGCGCGGTCCAAATTTATTTGTAATCATAATCCTTAATCCAGCTTCAGGGAACCGGTATTTGGGGGGACTGGAGCAGATGATCTCATCCACCATCACAACACTGTTTTTGCCATACTGCTGCATCCCCTTCACTAATGATCACAACGGACAGAGTTAGTTGTGGAACATGCATGCTTCCCATCACCTAGAGTCATTCTTTTCAGGATCAGGTGGGGAGTAATATCCATCTGAATGCTTGAATTTACAAGTGACTTTCCTGTAGTATTCCTGCAGCCTGGTAAATCTGCTCATCAACTGGGCACTGTGTTAAATCCAATCATGATCTCATCCACCATCACAACACTGTTTTTGCCATACTGCTGCATCCCCTTCACTAATGATCACAACGGACAGAGTTAGTTGTGGAACATGCATGCTTCCCATCACCTAGAGTCATTCTTTTCAGGATCAGGTGGGGAGTAATATCCATCTGAATGCTTGAATTTACAAGTGACTTTCCTGTAGTATTCCTGCAGCCTGGTAAATCTGCTCATCAACTGGGCACTGTGTTTAGATCACATCCTGAAAAGGGATTTCTGCTAAGGTAGCCACCAACCCACTCTCAGAAGAGTGGGAGCAGTTTTTATTTTGCCATTCATGCTGTAGCACCAACTTTGTTTGCTTATGTCCCACTATGGCTTTGTAAGCCCTCACTAAAAGCACTCTGCAGTGCAGATAGCACTCCTGAAACCTCTAAACCTATCCCATTGGATCAAAGTGCTGCACATCCAGAAGTCCCTAATGCTGTGCTCCCTCCTTTTGGAAATCTTCACTTTACCTTCACAGAATATCATCAAAATCTCTTATATGACAAGATTTGAAACCATGGAAAACAACAATTGTCAAGAAGAAGCATATTATAAATAATCCTTTGTTAATATAGAGGAATTTGTACCAAGGTTAAGAGTTTCATTCTACCATGTTAAGAACAGAGAGAGACAAAATTACACTGAGAATCAACACAAGTACAGGCAAGGACTTTCAGAACTCAACAACAATCCAATATTCTCACAAATGCTACAGACTACACACAGCAAGAAAAGCAAGGCTCAGCAGACAGGAGACGTACCCAAGTGGTGTTAGAAAGCAGGGCAGGAAATATGACTGTAATAAATATTAATTATTACATGTAATAATATGTACAGAAAAAAAAATAATAAATTGTTTGCTGCTTGTTTTCTGCTTTGCTTAGCTTGGCCTCACCCTCCCACTCCCTTTTGCATTATGTTATTTACAGTAAGAAGCGGAAGAGAATTTAGGTAGAAATGAAAGATAATTATTAGTACATGGTTCCAGTAAGGAAGCAAAGGGAATCTAAGAAAACACTCAACTCAAATAAAGGAATTAAAATGGACTTGCTCTAAACATACAGAAATCTATATACTGTCATATTTTAACATAGATACAGCGTTCAAATATTTTTGTTTTTCAGCAAGACCAGATCTATGTGTGCATGTAAATCACAGCATGCAATGAAGGCTTTGCTGTCTCTGTCATCTTCTAACATATACGAATAAAAATAACCTTCCATTGTCATTCAAGAAGAAAAACCTAGCAAGCCCCTAAATAGCCAGTAAACAGCTATTCTTTTAGCCTTTAGGATTCAAGTCTTGCTTTGTTTCACTAAAATGAGTTTTCAATTAGTACACTGGGGTTACCTGAGGTGTCATAAAGAGATCTTTGGTTTCATAAGGAAAAGCGACCTACTCAAATAATCCATTCTGTAGTTCTGTCTTGCAGCTTAGTATCTCTGAAGGAGAGTAGAACTAGTAGTAATTTTGCATTTGTTAAACACAAAGGTTCAATTTTCCTCCCCCTGCCTCCATCCTGACATCTGAAAGAACTTAAACTTGCTGAGTACTGCAGCTGATAATGCAAAAAGGAGCACATCCATTCCAATGGCTCTTAGACTGCAGCAGCTTCTCTGTGAAGCCAGACACAATTCCTAGGAACCAGTCCTCAATGAAGAGGACTCCACCACAGTAGCTTAACATCTGCTTTTGTTAGACAAAAAAAAAAAGAAATGTTTGACAGCAATCATGGTAAGGCAAAAAAGCCAGATACCTTTTTAACAGTTTCCTCAGATTAACTGCTCTCAATTCAATTTCTCCAGTCTCCAAAGTGCTTCTTTACCTTACAGTGTCATTAACAACATCAAAGCACTGCAAGTTACTCTGGGACTCTTTCTCAGAGCACTAAGAAGACAGTGACCAAACATACAGTTTTTATAAAATACAATGATAAAAAACTGAGCACTAATGTACAATATAGAAATATGTACATAACTGCAACTATTTTGACTGACTGCAGCACGTTGCTCTTATAATTTTCTAACAGCTCTTCAGTCTCACTTCCTATACCCATAAACATACATACCTTGGCCACATAAAGTACAAACAGGCTCCACCTAAAAACTGCAAATGTGAGGCAGAGCAAAGCCTTTTTCACTTCTTTGTGATATTCCTTAGAAAAATATATTCTGAGAACAGCTTTTCCTTTTAACAAACTACCTAAACTTCCTGCTCACCACAAAAGGTCATCACCAATTACCCTGTTAAAATCAACTGAAAGCTTCTTGCTGACTTCAGCTGACTCCTGATCATGCCCTCAGGTACCTTCATCACACTGACCATAAATCCACCTTTCTCGAGATTTTCTGGGTTTAGGCAGGAGTCGAATCATGCCACCTGGTGGAAATTTGGGTCAACGTAATAAAGGTCAATGGGCTGTAAGCCCCATGTTTGTACTTTTAAAATAGGTGCCTTATTCACAAAATACAAATATTTTGCCTTTACCTGTGTCTGTAAGACTCAACCTTGAAACTGATTTTATCTTATGGTGAAAAGCTCTCCTTTTTCTCTCTGAAACTTGTGTAATGGAAGCTTTTATATTGCACCATTGGAAGCTTTTGAAAGCAGTAAAACTTAAAAGCATAAAAGGAATCTGTGCAGCATGTGAAACCCCCTTTTACCTGCACCTTAAGCAACAGGCTAATCATCCTTAGTAGGAAGAAAATTCCTCACCCAAAGCAATTGTTCTTTTTTGGGAAGTAATGAGATTTTCCTCCTGTGGAAAATCAGATTAAGGTTAGACCTAAACCTTGATGAAGCCAAAGGAGGTTTTTCAGTGGATCCTGAAACTGGCTAAACACTGGATGGAGGTAAGGCAGATACCAGCTCTAGTTACTGGTCCTGCTAATAGTTACTGTCCCTGCTACTAGCAGTGTTCCTGCTTCTGAAAGCTGCTGCTGGGGAAGGTGCAGCTTAGCTTATGAAGCCAGTCAGCCAATGGTCAGCTAGCAGCAAGTCACTGATAGATAAGTCATAGCATATTTTGACTCAACTGGAGGGAGATACAATGGGCACCCATGTGATAGCTTTCTAGGACAGCTTCTTGACACACAAAGCACTCATCTACAAAGCAGCTAGACTAACACTGCCATCCTCCTCTCCCACTCCTCACTCCAATCTGTCACCTCCTTTATCATAGAATCATTAAGGTTGGAAAAGACTTCTAAGATCATCAAGTCCAACCATCAACAAACACCACTATGCCAACTAAACCATGTCCAGAAGTGTTACATCCAGATGTTTTTTTTAACACCTCCAGGGAATGTGAATCCACCACCTCCCTGGACAGCCCTATCCAATGCTTGACCATTCTTTCAGTAAAGATTTTTTTCCTCATATCCAATCTAAACCTCCTCTAGTGCAACTTGAGGTCATTTCCTCTTGTCCTATCACCAGTTACTTGGGAGAGGAGACCAACTCCCACCTCACTACAGCCTCCTTTCAGGTAGTTGGAGAGAGCAATAAGGTCTCCTCTCAGCATCCTTTTCTCCAGACTAAACAATCTCAATTCCCTCAGCTGCTCCAGACCATTCACCAGCTTAGTTTGAAATCTGTGGCCACACAAACACTCTGTGCTATCATCCCTTTATCACAGGGTGGCTAGAGAGGAGGTGGTGCAGGGACATGACATCAGAACCCAACAAATGCCTCAGAAGTTAGAAACCACTAATATCTGTTTTCTTTCACTGGATCACCATTTTCCTGTGTCCCCACTTGAATACATCAACAAAAAACTTCCCTAGGAGATATCCTCTGAACCTTTTATGTACATACCTCCATGTTCAAGTGATAGACTTCACTATATCATAGACAAAGTTAAAAAAAATTCATTGTAAAATGAGATCAAAGTATTTCAAAGACATTTTCATACAATTATGCTATTATGTCCTATGAGAAGTAACTTTAAATCTATATGAAACCATTGTCTAAACACCATACCTGAGAGTAAAATATCACTGTGATGTCACTGCATAAACCTGTAGTAAGTGACAGTACCTACCTTGAAGAGATACCAGCCCAAACACTAAAAACAGGAAAGAGCGGGATTCTTTGAATCTGTTCTCAACTCCTGTTGGTCAATATTTGTTATTACATTAGAACC